AGAAATGACCTAGCTAAAGCGTGCTCAAAACCAGCTGAATTCACAGTTGTTCAATCAGACGCTAATCATTGTAATAAAAAGAAATTCTACTGAATGTTAATAAACGTACATCATTTTTATTGGTTTTGTATTAATACTTAAATTTTGGCTAGTTTGTTAACTCATTTCTGCACAACACGGTTTTAAATGTCTATTGCTGTAATTACCTACTACGAAACCTCATACTCATTGTACAACAGAGCAAATATTAATTGCTAATAAATAAGCAGCATAAAGCATTTTACAACAGTAACTATTTAAATACAACAATAATGCTTATATTATTTTAACTGAAGAACAAACGATATTTATAAAGGATTAATGGTTTTACTCACGTGTTTAGAACGTCCGACTAATTTCGGACTCGATGGGAGACATCAAGGGATGACGCGACCTCCCGCGTCGGTGACGGCGCTGCACTGAACCGTTTACCCTTTATAAAACTGAATATCATTCACAAAAAAAATCTCTTCTTATACAATAGTAGATATTGTCCACAAATCACACTAATTACATAGTGTGTTCAGTGTTGGCGACGGCCGCTGTTGTGGTGACCTTTCTTGTTTCATATCATTTTGGTTTAACGGCTAGGATTTTCGCTGCACATTATTGTCCTACATTATATCTTGCTCCGACGTCTTGAGTTGTTAATTATATAAATGGCTTATGGTATTATATCAGTTCGTCATTTGTATTATATTCTTTGGTAGGCGTTTTTGCATCTTACTAGGCTTACTTTAACTGCTGATATTTACGGGCACATATGTCATTTGAGTGAGCTGAGTATTGCTTGAATATATTTATTATCGCGCGTTTATCACTTTGTGCTCGTGTAGATTGTCGCTTCAATTGCTTGGGATAACTTTGAATTACAAATGGTTTACCATTGCTTTGATTTATAGATATTAATTTACCGGCAGAATCATTGGGACATCTGGACATGCACCTTTATGTATATTTCTTCGAGGAGACACCGTGATGGCAAATTTAATTAGAGAATTTTCACTCCAACACTGGCATGAATTATAAACGTTAAAAGTAAAATCCAAAACAAAATTCACACAGCTTGAAAATTCTTCCTAAAATTAAGTCTTCTTTTACTATAAGAAGAAGAACTACCTAAGAATAAACGAGACAGTCTCTAAGTGTAAGGGGGGAGAAGTAAATTCAAGGACTGTTGAACACGGTGGAGATGTCCTTGAATATCTGATGCTATGTTCTTTTAAAGTAATGCTCATCAACTCTTTTGGCGAGAGCCACAAGCGACTCGTGCTTCCGAACCGTCTCTGCAAGCTTCCGGCACGGTAGACGTGTTGTGATGATGGTAAAAACATGGCCGAAGACCAGGGCATCAAGTTCAGAAGGGCTGTGGAAAGAATTGAAGGTAAGTTACTTTATTAGTCACTATAAGTACATAGTAAAATAAGGAAATTCCTTTAAAGTCAAAGGCACTGTGACTATAGATGCAGGTGACCCCCTCTAGACGTTTGTCTCCCTGTATTTTCAGTGTTGAGTATTTTTTTAATGGGACTAATCCCTCCCACACGCCCACCACTGTAACTCCTGTACACCAGGATCAACAGCAGTGGACCCACGAACACACCGAGTTATGACACTCGGTGAAGTCCTAAGAAAAAAAATTAACCGTCTTGGAACCCGCAACGAAATTATTCAGAAAAAAATTAGTGCAGAAAATAGTGTGCAGTATATTAAACATACATAATTTATAGAATTCTTCTAATTATTGTAGTTGTAACTACGATAATTAGAAGAATTCTTGTCGTTTGTAAAATTTTCCACGACCAGCCCGAGTTTTAATAGAACTTGAAGCATATTAATAGTCGAATGGTAAAAGTTTTTAGATAGATCCTCGAGGAACTCACTATATTATACCAGATGAGTTTTTTTATAGTATAAGAAGGCAAACGAGCAAACGGGTCACCTGATGGTAAGTAACTACCGACATCAATGGACACTTGCAAATCGAGTCGCAAGCGCGTTAAGCTCATCGGAGTCAAAGTATCAGAATTCAACGAGGACGAGGGCTCCTATTTATGTCTCCGGAACTGGCCATTTACAGAACAATATTAAGAAGTAATTTTAACATTTAAATATGGAACTCTTGCTGAATAATACAATTTGTTTATACGTTGCGACGTCATTTTGAAAATTGCGTGTCTTTATCACTATGGATTTAACTCCTGAAATTTTTCGTGCTATGATTTATTTAGATTTTCAGCAAGGGGTAACTCAAAAACACCACGAAGTCCACGTCCTCAGGGACGAAGCACCATCAAAAACAACTGTGTATCACTGGTTTAGTGAGCTTGAACACAGACCGCCCTCGAGGCGGTCTGTGTTCACGGACGAATTTAAAGAAGATCGCCCTGAATCGGTTGTTGTACTTCAAAATGTTGAAGCTGTGCGGGAACTAATAATGCAAGATCGTCGTGTTACATATCGCGAGATAGGGACGTCTGTGAGAATAAGTATGACGAGTATATATAAAATATTACATGGACATTTAGCTATAAAAAAATTGTACACGTTGGATTCCGAACAAATTGAGAATTTACCACAAACGGGCTCGTGTCGTTTGGTGTAAAAAAAAATGTTACAAAAGTACAATCAGGGTGCTGCTACAATTATCTGCTATAATTAAAAGCTGTCTATAATTATCTACACAGGTGATGAATCTTGGACATCAGCGTATGATACTGAAAAGATGTTCCAAGATGAGCCGAAGCCAACAAAAGTCATTCGTTCAAAAAGCACTGAGGCAAATGGTCGCTTGTTTTTTTGGAATAAATATACATGTGGCCACAGTGCCACTATAGGATCGTAAAAAAGTTAATTCTGAATGGTACCGACTATTTGTTTGCTAGAAGTCTTTGAAGAAATAAGAAAGAAAAACCGACAACGCAGGACTCCTTTTTCATTATGACAAAGCTAGCTGCCACAGATCGGCCGAAACAACTCAGTATTTAGATCATAAGATCGAATTAACGGGTCATCCGCCGCGGTCATCCCCGCGACTTCTATTTATTCCCAACCGTGAAGAGGCTATTGATGCGTTCAAAATGCACGTTTTGGAGATACCACAACAGTTACACAGAATGGAAAAAGTGCTACGAAAACTGGTTCCAACGTATGCATCGATCATCACGGCGAATATTTTGAAAAGCAATAAAGTATAATAAATGCTATAATATATGTTTGTTTCACTTTGTTATTCCGAATACATAAATAGCAGCCCTCGTATACAAGTGTGACTAGTGCACGAATATGTTCTTAATTTCGAGTCATCAAAAAGTACTTCTTTTTTAGGGTGCTTCTACACGGTGCAAGTAGCTGGAGCGGGCAAAGTCGCTAGTTTCTTGCGTCAGTAGCATGCACAAGTTACTTGCACGTTTGGTTGATATAATGTGCATGATGCTCGCGCAGGTTACATGAAAAGGGTCTTGCCCGCGAGCTTCGCGGAGCGTGCAGGTAACGGGTTACCTGCGCGAGTCGCTGGACCCGCATAATCCTTTTCGCGAAGCAAATTACCTGCGCAAGCGCCTCAACAAGCGCAAGCTACTTGCATCGTGTTGAAGCACACTTAATATTTCTTTACTAGTTTGCTAATAATATTATACTTATTTAAAAAAACCTGATTCAACCATGACCTATGACAAATGGGTATCCCATTTGTCATAGGTCATGGTTGAATCAGGTAAATAATGTTAAATCTACTTAAAACGGCAATATCACACACTACAAACACCACTATTAATTATTATTTACCTACATTTTTTGCACAAAATGTTTGAACCAAGATACGAAAAATGGTATACGAATCTATTTTTTACTTGTCAATACGATACTTTAATATCTATATACCTACGTAAACTAATATTTATCTTACACTATGAAGATATAAATAAATTGTAGGACAATTTCTGATCATACATAACGTACGCACAACTAATAAAACAAAATCTAAATTATGTAAAAATTAAAAATAATAAACTTAACTCATATTCTGCCATTCTGCATAGTAAACAAAAATTTTTAAATTAAAATAACAGTACTCGAACTAAATACATTCATTTTATTTAAACACATGTACTTAGAAGTATGTTTATCAGTAGTCTTGTTACCATGACACGGGCCCTGGCTCGTTTGGGATTAGACGAGCATTAATTCCTTTTGCATAATTAAATCCTAGTATCATAAGGAACAGATTTGTCAATTGTGGTTTTGACAACCCTCCCTCTCTCATAATAATTGAAAACGAGAAAATTTTACTAATTTTCTATAAAAATATGGATATTATTTGTTATGGTTTTACTATTTTTTTTATCTTCAACCGTTTTAGTTAAATTAGTTGTTTACATGTAAATTTGGGTGACTAAATTGCCTAGTGGATGATATCCTCTCTAACCATCACAGAACGGACATACGGGTACACGAACCCGGCCTCTGTGCTACTGCAGTCCTGGCCTCCCCAATCACAGTACGGACATACGGGTACTCGAACCCGGCCTTTGTGCTACTGCAGTCTTGGCCTCTCTAATAAATTATCTAAACCATTCAGACCAGCATTATTTCTTTAAATGGCAGAATCTTTCGAATCTTTCATTTCTTTTGAAACATTCTAGTTTTTTAACTCCCTGATGCAGATGTTTTTATTGCGCCCGTTATCCTTACTTTTCAAATGGAAAAAAAAACTTTTATAGTAGTTGCAAATCCATTCAAATTATCTAAAAAAGAAATTTATAACGAACTAATATAATTGGCAAGACTGCACCGAGTATTCAACTTCGATTTTCAAATTGTCAAAGTTGCAAATCAAATCAAATCAAGTGTCAAGTGTGCAGGGAGTTTTCGTATAATTTCATAAACGTCTTTTTTATTTGTTATATAACCTGTCGATAAACGTAATTGGTTTAACATAACGAGTCTTCGAGCTTCGTATTCTAATCGAGGTCTGCAACATAGTTATATGACACGTTTTGCTTTCGAAGGTATCTTAACAGGCTCTCAACACTGATATCTTCATTGAGTGGCATTTTTAACGTTGCCTTTGAATCTGTAAAACGAAATAGGAACTACGTATCTTTATGAGCATGAGTAAAATAAAAATATTTTTTAACCGAGTCCATAAGGAAGGACATTACACCATTTTTTAAATCATTTCAATTTTAATTAATTAAATAAGTTGAAATAAATGTGAGAACAATCAAATTTGAAGAACACATTGCACGGCTGAGAGTGGAAAGTAAAGGGATGAAAAATATAGGGTATTACTACTTTTCTTGATTTAAGATTGTCGGTGATACATTACATACTTTTTATTTTTTTTTATTTTAAATAGTATTGGAAGCCTTATCCTCTTTAAATCACTGAGCTACTTCTACGAGAGCGCATGATTACAGTGTAGTAATATGACCACGTCAACAAAATAAACACTGTTTTAATATTGTATAAAGTAAAAAATCTGTATTCACATATTTTAATATGAATTAAACAGGAAGTCATGTAGCACAGTAATATGATATATGAAAATTGCTCTAATTCCCGCGTACTTGTATAATAGAGGTCAGTGGACTAAGCTATGCTACCTGCAGATGGTTCTCAGGACTATGCCAACTACCTATAAGATGGTTAGTTGCAAAACAACATTTTATATGTATACAACATTCATACAAAATGTTGTGATTTAGACTTGAAATTTATTTTTATTATATTTAGTTCATTTCAAGGTTTATAATAGTTTGTTTAAAAAAAAACAAAAAGTGATGTATGATAGATTAAAAATAAAAAAAAATAAACCTGAAGATTCCGGGGGAGCAACCACGTCGGACTTCTCAGACTCATGGTCGTCAGAAGTACGACCACCAGACATTGTCAGATTTAAAGGCGAATCTTTTGACAGTAATTTGCTGTCGTAGTGAGAAAAAAAATATGAAAAAATTAATTAAAAAAACTTTTTATATTGGGATTAAGTTTTTTCAGTTTTAAATAGCTCAAGTGGTTTTAGTTTACAAATAATAGCTACAAAGAGAACATCGATGGAAGTTGGTGGATTAATCCGAACATTAGTCCAAAAGTCCGACCATGTTGTAAACTTGTAACCATGGTCATAACAACGGTAGGTTTGTTAGTTTGTTTTAACAAAACAAAAAGGAACCTACGTTGATAAGATTTTAGATAAATTTCGAATAGTTTGCAGAGGTTGGACGTGCGTTGTCATTGGCGTTTATTTTGAGTTTAATATTCGATTAAGACTTAGAAACAGAGCACTGAAACATTTATTTTTGGTTCATTGCTTGTATTTTTATTTAACGCACATATTTAAACATTGAGCGCGCTTTGGATCAAATATGAACGACTGAAACAAAATGCGCGTTCGTTAATATTACTGACATTTTTTTTTCAGTCAGGTATTCGTTGGTAAATAAACTTTTCTATCAAATTCGACTTACGTGTACTAAGCAATGTGTAGAAAATCATTTTACACTGATTACTAAAAGAAAACAAACCTGGATATAGTGGTTCGAGATTCAACACTACCACGATCTTTAGAATGGGACACCGAATCCATATGTTTTTCATTGACTATCTCCAGCTCATTCAAATCATCATCGCGTATAAGCTGTAACATATCCTCATCTCCCGATTGCATGGTATCACTGACGTCATTCTCAGCTATCGTATCAAGATAATCGCTCATTTTCGAATTGGTATTTTCTTTAGGATAAGCTATTACTTCAAAATCATTTTTTTCTGTATCCGAATCAGTTTTTTCATAGAACTCGTTTGTGATGTATTCGTCAACCTTGTCGAGAATGTCTTCGCATATTTCTAGCACGCACGTATATCCTTCCTGGTCACTTTTGGTCGGTTTACAAGTTATCATTCCTTCTTTTGAAGTCATAATCACCATTTGCTTAGAGGCAAACGGTTTAAAACCTGTGTTTAAACAAGTTTTTTAGAAATATATTTCGTCGTCGTCTAATTTACGAGGGTTTTGGAGAAAATTAAAATACAGTGAGAGTAACGCTACTGTTACTAAAAATGGACTAAAAGCTACTTTTATACAACTGAAATGTGAGGCTTTGTATGGTGATTATGATAATATTTTAAAGAAGAACAATAATGGTAAAGAGCGCCTTCACCGTGCAACATCGTGAAACAGGTGATCTATCAAAGTCAGGAAGTAATAAAATATTCTACCACTCTACTTATTTAACGGCTGCACTCTAATCAATAGAGAATTGACTTAAATGGCCCTGCATAGTAATTTAAAATTAGGAGTAGTAACTGATAGTAAAGTACTACTTTCAATTATTCTGTACTGTACGCTTTCTACACGTTGACAAGTTGTCTGATAAAATTTAAAAACTCCTGTATACCTAATCCAAAAATATGGTATGCAACCTCAATCATTAGTCACTATTAAACAAATTGCTGAATCATAGCTCGAATGGAGTAGCGAACCTAAAGATCCGAACATTCCAGAATGTTCCAGAAGTTTCAATAGGGATATTCAATAAGTGAGGTTACGATATTTTTCGCTAAAGTTCTCGAGCCTTCTAGAACTTTCTATGAAAAATCTCGACGTATATCTACCCCGATGGGGTGTAGTTTAGTTTAGGGGGTATTACCATATATTTCTCGGGAATTGAAGGTTTCCCTGCTGGTATTCTTGGTGCTCATACGAGACCTAGTCTTGGTGTTACGTTCCGAAGGGCTGTCTATCTGGAACGACACACGCGGCAAGCGGAAAGCCTGATACAGCAGATATTCTTCTTGAGGCTATCACAGACAAGAGAATAAAAGAAGATGAAAGGTAAAGAAGAAGTGAAACATTTGTAATGTTATGTGGTATATCTAGGAATGGAAAAAATAATTAAGAATGAAGTCGCTATTTGATATGATCCCTACAATGCCAGTTTGCCACTTAGTTCAAAAAAAGAGCTTACTATTAATTAGCTCTTTTCTTGAATGAATATCCTTGAGGACTTAGCTATCCAAGGTCTGTTATTAGCTGGTATACCCCTCGCACAGACTTGCACGGCATACAACCTAACGAAATTGCCATTTCTCGTTATTTGTAATCGAAGTAAAGAAGTACATACGAAGGAAGTTCTTCGAAAAAAACTTCTATGACGCTGAATGGTTTTGATTTTATTTTTAAATGCTCGGGTAGGCATAAATCTTAAATAAGTCCAAATATTTTTCATCACTAAACATAATTAGTCTATCAGCTTCCTTGTCTCAGCACCATTATCGTTACGGTAATGATCCGATGACAGTATTTCAGTGGGTTCACGTCGGTAGTGCACTGGTCAGGATTCAAACCCACGACCTCTCGATCGCAAGTCCAATGCCTTAACCACTAGGCTACCGCCGCTTATCGTCCGCATTGGAAATTAAAGTCCCACTCTATGAACGTAAGTACTTTTGACATCAAAAAAATTAGGAGCATTCCGTTTTTGAGGATTCTTTCTACTAAGTATTCTTGTCTAAGTACGAATGTTCAAAATAAAATCCTAGTTCACATACCGTCATCTTCATCTCTGTGATGTTGATCATCCTGAGCATATGACGCAGGAGTGAGGTGGTGATCGGTTTAATCATCAAAGCAGCCTTCGGACCTTGGGCAGACAGGAGCGCGCGTATGTGACCGAACACGCGTGCGTCTAGGGCAGTAGGACTGGGAAAAGGGATAGGAAAAAGTGGGGAATTAGGAGATGGGACTGTAAGGATGTCCGTAGGTATTTTTGGCAATTTCTTAACATTTGTTTCAATTCAACACATTATAATAAACTATGCAGAATAGCAACGGCTGCAAAATCTCAAAGCAAAATGACTTGGTTTTAAAAGAGTAAATTAACATACCAACATTGCAGTCTAAAAGCAGAAATACCACAGATTATTTTATTATCATAGTACAAGTAGAGAAGTCCGCAGGATTATTTATATAATTATCGACTCTAACTTCAATACAATAAAGTGCAATTCTGGTTCTACATAGCTAATCACCTAAAGTTATATTTACTTAAAACCTAAAATCTCTTACAGAATTAGGAACGTTAGGATTGTATTATTGTACTATTTATACACACTGGAACTGCGCGTGTGGTTAAATTGCGTTTCCGATACTTTTCTATAATTTAAGCAGATTAAATAATTATAATTAAAAAGCTACATACTTAATGTAAGGAGTAGAAATAAATGCAGCGGTAACTGTCACCGATAGCACAATGTAGCAAAGACCAAACTTATTATAAAGTTACAAGTCCAATCCAGTATCAGGCAGATATAAATTCGTTTAGTAGTATTTGTAGTGTATAACCCAAATAAACTTAACATTTTTAATGTATCTAGTCAGAAAAAGCAATTATTTGTATTGCTTACTTCTGTAGTAGGCCTATGGCCATAAGCATTACAATATAAATTTTACATAACAACCTTACATCATAAAATATTATTTTATATCTAAGTCTATTTATATCTAAAAAGTCACTCACGTGTTGCCAAAAAAGTAGTCTCGTTCTCCCAAACGTTGGCTTAGTGAGTTACAGCACTGCTCAACCTGGAATAGAACATATATTTTTTTTTTAGTCTGTATATATTTTGTAAGCTCTTAAGCCCCTACAAGAGTTATCTTTCAAAAAAAAAAAAACTATATTGGTCTACCTATTCATTTTACTGGAACCTAGCCTTAACCAAAAAAGGAAGACAATGGCAGTCATCTATACTATTATTATAAAGGAGGAGCCGAACATCAATGAAACATGTCGCGAAAACTGGCAATGTATTCGGGTCAGCTATTAAGATGTAAGATTCATAATTTAAGTAGAAGTAATAAGATGGTGGAAGCAAAGGCTCGCCGTCCGTTATTAGACCCTGCCGCTAGGAGGCCACGTCCGCGTGTGTCGGACGTCGGGTCCTAGCGGCTAGCCGTTGTGGGTAGGAACTACGAGCGGTCCGGAGTCTTAATATTAGCAGTTCCCGGATTACTCCTATTACAGGCGCAGAGTGGCACACCGTGTGGTTTTAGACGGTCCTATGGGTCCACCACCCCCCCGCAAACCCCTGTGGGTGACGGCCGGGGGTTTACACGTAAAAAAAAGTCAGTGTCATGTTATTCTAAGAAACAAAATCTAATCAAACAAAATATTCTAACAAAATCTAATTTTGTTATTTTCTATTCAACTAGTATCATATCACTTACATCAGCCAAGACTTGTTCCAGACTCTTGTCGTACCAGTGCAGCGCCTTTAGTCTCTTGATAACCAGGTTCCTCTTGGCTCTCGTCTGCAGCCAGCCTAATGGCCATGGATAAACTGAAGAGTTGCGCACCTTTGTTACGGCATTAAACGTGTCATTATCCACCCAGGAAATGTAGAGCTGCAGGTAGAGAACACAACTTTTTAAAATTTTATACCAAATTAATTCTTCATGCTGTTTATAAGGAGCACAATTGAAAATGAATTAAATAATAACATTGTGTTAAAAACACTAAATAAACAGTAAAATAAATAAAGTTCATGGCACTTCCACAACTGAGGAGAATATAGTAAAACCTCAAATGTGAAAATCCATCTTTTGTACCACAGGGTGCCAAAAGCTGGGTACAACCAGTGGTATTAAGGAACTTAAAACCTTTTAGAATAGTGTTGAAGGTACAGGTTACTGGTAAGTCGTTCTATTATTTCTTTTTAATTTTAGGATTTGTCACCACAAACAGCCCTCTGACCCCAAACAAGGCAGAACCTATACTATGGCAACTACTGATAAAATATTTGTTATATATTACATTATTATTATTAAACTCATTATTATTACAGATAAATAAATTACACTCAGAAGCAGAAGAAATTAGGTCATTATAGTCATGTGTTTTGTGTGTGGCAGTTGAACTTTGAACTATTGGCTGAACAATCATTATTACTAGCCATTAGACCAATAGTTATTAAGTAGGAATACTTTTACGAACCTCAGCATTAACCAACACGTTGGTAATAAGACTCATATATGCTCTCATCTCAGCCTTCTCTTCTGTGGACAGCTTCGAGCATAGTGTGACGCCCTTGTTGGCTGCAAACTGTACGATGGGCTCCAGCTCGGAAACCACAAAGGCGCCGCATTTTATAAAAGGGACTCGTCCCGAAGGTGACATAAATTCAGCGTTCCAACGCATTTCCACTTCGAATGGGAGGTTGCACATCTATAAAAGTTTTAAACTTAACTGTTAGTGTTAAACTTAACTTCTTGAACTTAAATAGTGTTTCTATAAATAAAATAACTGTAATTGTTCCCCTACAAATATCTATAAATTTCTAATTTCCGGAACAATTTTATAAGGGTTATGGAAATTTCCAGAAACATTTCTTCTAACTAGGGTAATGGACTTTGTAAGTAATAAATTAACATTAAAGGCCATTAAATTAACATTACAGATATTTCTGTTAAAGACAAGTGTAAATAAATAAAGATAAATTTAACAAACTTATGTGTTGAACTAGACTGGATAGATGTTAATTTATGCTAGAAATAACAGGACAGTAATTCTCTTTGTCTTTTCTTTTTCTTCCAACTTTTTAAAAAAAGACCACTCGCTAAACTAGGAATAAATCCTGTGATGTGAGGGACTTTACAAACATACATAAAATGGATACAAAGAACACCCAGGCTCAGAGTGTTGTCCCATGTGGGAATCTATGCTGTAAAGACCTTGTTGCTTCCTATTGCACTAAGTGCATTAAGGTCGCTTAAACCACTATGCCATCCATGCAGTCATAATTTATCAGTAATTACTTAAAACTGTTGTAAAATTCAGTAAACATTAAAGACCTAACACTTACCTTTAAGAATGCCTGCACAGCAAGGCAACTGGCATTATCCGGCAGCAATATCTGTTCCACCTCGTAGGGCTGAAAGAGCTTTACATTGTCCGGCCATGGCTCTTGGGCTAAAAACATTAATATGAAATTGATACAATGGCGTCATCATATAATACATACATGACAACTAGTTTTATTCATGCAATATCAGTATGATAAAAAACTATTTACTAACAATAAAAATAATGGAGCCGTCGTGGAAGGTCTGGCAAATGTGAAACATCGAAATTATTTTATAGGAATAATGATTGAAATAATGATGAAATTTGGGGAAAGAGTCGCAGAATCACTTGCACATGGCAAAGCGTCACCACACCGTATTATAATATATACATTACTATCACAGGCATGGCGACGCATCACCATGGCAACCGCCGGTCTGACGAACATGCCAAATGCGAAGGGCATTAGATATTTTAAATCAAATCATTAGTATTCATGTTTATTAAAGTTAAACACGATATTTACATTGCTGCTCAAAACAAGATGGCACTAGGGATGTTAAAAAATAATCGATTTTTATTGAAATCGATTATTATTTTCTCATAATCGATTTTTTATTATCGATTTTTATAGTAATGATAATCGATTTTTAGTAAATCGATTATATAAATTACGTGTTTAAATCGATTTTCAGAAACAGCTCGCATCTATGTGACGAATTAAAAAATTTTGCAGTATGTTTCAATTTTAAAAACAGCGCCATCTATGCGTTGGATCAAAAATCTCTGCTCCGTCCGAAAGATTATTTTCCAAAGCGGGAAATGTGGTCAGGAAAACACGAAACCGTATTTTAGGAAAGAGACTATCAAAATTATTGTTTTTAAACTGCTTACTTACCTGAAAATTTATTATTGTTTAATCCTAGTCAAATGTAAAATAGGACTGCACATTTGTGGAAATAATTATTTTTAATTTTATTATTGTTTAAACTTGCAGATTAACGAAAGATTGTTTTTTATTTTAGTTTTAGAGACCATAACGTAGTTGTTCAGGATTGATAATGATCCTTTTAAGTATTTTATTTTAATACTAGTCAAATGTAAAATAGGACTGCATGGACATTTGTGACAATAATTATTATTTAAACTTAAAGATTAACGAATGATTTGTAATTTAGTTTAGTTTTTGAGACTATAGAGTAACCAAAGCCAAAACCTCCTTTCTAAGGAGAGGCCTACGTCCAGCAGTGGACTATCAAAGACTGTTCATGAAGAGTAGTCATTTAGTTTTTTAATTCTCATTTTAAGTGTTTTATTTTAAAACTAGTCAAATAAAAAATTCTTATCATTTCATTTTTATTATAATAAATAAAGCGTTTCATAGTACTAAAACGAGTATCAATAATGCTATTTAGTTTCCTAATTCCCTACTTTGAAATTTTTCCAATAGGTTATTTTTTTATTCATATAATTTTATTTTATTTTTAATCTGATAAATAGTTAATATGAATCTCTTAGGTTTATTATTGGAATGTGGAAAGCATATACTTTCAAATAATACAAAAAAATCGATTATTTATTTTTATTAAAATCGATTTTTGGCAAATCGATTAATTTTTAATATAGAAAAATCGATTTTTATTTAATCGATTCTTTTCCATTAATCTCACATCCCTAGATGGCACTTATTGTTTAGTAAACAGTTTACTTTGTCTATGACGAATCTATAAAAATACCATGACTGCCACCATTTCCCTAAAATAGCTAAAACGTACTATTTAAGTACAGAAATTACCACGATAAAATTTATATCACCATCCCTAATTAATATATACAATAATACAAATAACTACACAACATCATACTACAGATTATAGGTAGGTACATACTTACACACTGATACTATGATTTTGAATTATCAAGTATATTTGAAAATATATTTGAAAAAATTTAAATGTCTTCGAATATCTTTAAAAAGAGAGACTAGCACTTACTTAAAAGATGCACATGGAAATCAAACATTTATTGTGACCACAACAACATGGCTGACACACAAATAGTGGAAAGCAACTTGGTACACTATTTATTTCGACACTTTCACGCTTTAACAACCTATCTAAACATATCAGTGATCTAAGATGTTAAATTTACCTTATTTATGTTACAGCTAACACCATTTTTAACTTTAGTGAGAAGGTGACCAGGGAATACAAAAGCGATACTCAAGCACAGATTACTCAAGTCAAGACTACCTGAACTGAACTGACTGACCATTGACCATTAGTAAATTGCTTTTTGGTTAGAAACCATAAACAAAAAAAAAACGTGATCCATGTTTCCATGGAAGATTATACAGGAGAAGGAGATATGTTTTTTGGGGTTATGTATAAAACATTAGCAAAAATTAAATGACACCTGTTTAAACCACGCTGTAGCGCTAAACAGGCATCAGTTACACACTCAAACACGTTAGATAAACATATTAAAATAAATTCACGCAAAAAAACTCAAATATAATACCAAAGAGAAATGGGTCTTGCAGATTCAACTTCATTGCTAAACGAAGCTAACACAGTGTCCGAATGTTCGAAATGATGTAATATGGGTAATATACACTATTTCGGACACCTTGGTGCTAAAATTAAATATTTGTGTCAACAACACAACATTACTTTTTCTAACAAATTATGTAACTTCATTAAATCTAAACTGGCAATAAAACGAGCATTTAACTCACCATTAAGCTGTGTTATTATTGAATCTGTGAGATGATATTCCGGCATTATTACTAATTTTAAAATACTAATGAAATAAATACAATATTTCTTTCTGGAAATACCTACTAAAAATCGATAAACGCGCAATACATTTTACACTGACAGCTGTCAGCAATTTTGTTTCTTTATGTTGGCAGATTTGAAGTATCACTATTGGTACAACAAAATGTTCTGCCATAATTAAAAAACAACCTTTCAGTAGAAAACACAGTGTAGGCGCTTCCTGTGAACGCCGGGTTCAATTGAGTCTGTTGTACCTAAAATATTTTGTATTCTAGTCACGTATCTATGTGCACAAAACTCTTTCCCTAGGGATTGGGATTTCTTTTTTCAAATTAACCTTGATACCTTACCTAGATACCATGGAACCCCTGTGATGTACAAAATGAAAAATAAAAATCGCTTATCATCGTCATTAAAGCCTCAAAATGAACACATTTGTCAAAACATACTAGAAAATGTTATTTTATATATTCATTCATTTTCTGCTAACAAATTAGTTGAAAATCCCGAACATTTATCTTTACATTCTCATATCCCACCTATAGATATAAAACGCTTAAATAAAATTTTGATTGAATTGTATCCCCAAATAAATAATTTTAAACGGTTGACTCGGCTAAAAAAAACTGTGTTTTACACTTCATTATGCGCGTGAAAGAGACAAGGTTTTGTCTTCAAGGCCGTCGCGCCGGTACCGACGGTGTCAACGAGAGTGTTGGTTTAGTTTTAAACCGTATCAAATTGACTGATTATTTTTAGCGTTTGAAAACAATGAAAAAATTTTTTTTACCAACACAGAGTTTTGAACTCATCAATAGAGTTTTTATAACTTAGGTAGGTAATATCTACGCTTGGTAGGACGGTCCAATTAGAACTAAACCCGCTAAGTATATCAATATTTATTTATTTACAACTTTATGCACTTATGTACGGGCTTAATGCCCAAGGCATTCTCTACCAGCCAACCTTTGGGGGGAGTGTAGAAATCTGGTGAGGTAGGTGCACTGAGGTTGCAGTTGTTATAATAGTTATAACAAACATATACAATTACACACAACAGACACACATACACATATATAGATATAAATATACATAAAATACATATACTTTACATTCGGACACTTTAAATATGGAGGTGTACTATTACTAACTAGAATTAAACCCTGTTAGTATTTCTATATCAGTATATCAGACATATAAAAATCTTTACACAGTTTATATGTACTTCGTCATATCCCTACCTCGGTAAAATCAAGAAAATAGACATCAATACCAACCGTTGTAAATCGAAAAAAAATTGGTTTTTCGTTTTAAACGGATTGGTTTAATTAATTTTAAACCAGACTTACATCTATAATCCCACCTAATAGTATTACTAAAAACGATGTCTCAAAGTCAAAACTTACAACGAAGAGAAAGATGTTGCATAATTTACGCTCGTGGATAGCCTTTTTATTGACACGAAAATAAATGTGATCCACTTGGAGTTATTTCTAGTCTTATATGATCTAATTGAGATTGTTGAATGCTTCACAATCTTAATTAGATCAATGTTTTAGAGAATAAGAGAGTAAACATAATTATGTACCTACTTGTGATGATTACTTATTGATCTAAAACCTCAGAAAACATTTTACCCATTTGAACAAGTTTTGATATATTTTCTCCAACACATGCCACATTGTTGTTCAATAAGTTGACCCCAAAAGCATACTCTTCGTCATCAGAAAAATCAAACGGGCGTTCCGGAGGTTCAGCATCTTTATCTTTAATACTTAAATTTGATTTTGAATTAATGAGGTCGATATACTTATGGTAAATCGATTCCCCTTTACCAGTGGAAATAGGTGACAAAGATCTTGGTGTAACAGTTTTAGATTGTGTTGACCTAAGAGTCCAGCTTGAAGACAACGTGGTCCTAGCTGTTGTTGATTCTTTTTTTAATACATTATCTTGAATACTGCTTTCACTCATTTTATATTATTTTATTTTATAAAAAAAAGTATCAAAAAATGTCAGATTGCTCTGAAGCATGACATTTTGTTTTTGATATCATTGTTGACCTTTGCTGATAGCCATAAACAAGTGATTTTTCACATAAGATCTATTTTCGGCTAAAAAATTTTCCATTTAAAACGTCTTGATATGCCACTACAGCGTGCTGTCTTTAGTAAGTAATTTAATTAATTAATTGTTTTACCCGCAACGAAAATCTAACTTTTACTGACAATGCGAACATAAGTCGTCAAAAGTCCCTTATTACTTACTTGTTTTAGAATGTCCAACCCGGTTTCATAAGGGTAGAAAGATAAAGCGGTAAATTAGTATTCTACGTACGCATGGAAACGAGCGACGTTGCGAGGCATCTTTTAAGAAAAACTGTTCTTTAAGAGCTTTATGTATATATTTTTTTACTTGTAATGAATAATGCAATAAAATTATCATCAGAGAACTGCTATTGAGTTGTTTTTATTACACATAGAATAAAATCTGTACTTGATACAGTATTTTTATACCCTTAGAATTTCCTAACAAAAGTTCTGTTCGAGTAAGTAATAAATTATCATCATCATCATCAACAGCCTATACTAGTCCACTGCTGGACATAGGCCTCTCCTTAGAAAGGAGGTTTTGGCCTTTTAATAAATTATAGTTAAAAAAAAACTAAAAAAACGGTTTCGTCACTAGCCGAAGTAAGAGTAAAAAATAAATTTCTATAAGTTCAAAAAGAAAAATAATTGTGTCGTCAATCGGTGCTGAATCTCAATTGTTGTAAAAATATTTTTGTGTTGATTATTTAATTTTCATTGAAGCCATTTTAATTTTGTAAATATTGTATCTATTGTACACAACATAGTTATCATATAAGAAAACTTTTAAAAAATCGGTCCCATTAAAAGCTTTTTCCCAAAATTAAATCAATTCACCGATATCAGTAAAAGTAATAGACTAAAGATATGCCAAATGTTCTTCCAACCAATTTTCAGTTTCCACCATGGTATCCACTTCTACCTTTGGTTCGAACCAAAGGTAGGAGTGGATGCCAAGACTTACAATACAATAGCTTATAATCTGGCTTCAGGTGACTTTACATCGAAATCGATAAATTTCAAAAAACTATAAATAGGAAATCAATTCTACTACATTGACACTACACACTATCGATATCACAATTTTACACTTAACAACACTACTTGGCATTTGGCAAATAGCAATAATTTGGTTTGATTTGATTGTTTGGAGTTAACTTTGTGTTTCAACGAATTCTTGGTTATTTAGATGTTATCCGAACAATAATAAGTATATATTAGTTTGAATTATAAGCAATAATGGCAGACGTACTAGATATTGAAAATTCTGAGGAATTTGAGGTTGACGAAGACGGCGAACGTAAGTTAAATCTTATTCTGTATTATTTATCCTACAACAAGGTTAAAGCATATTTGAATAGCCTTTTTTGACTATCCAATATAGTTACCGTAGCTATTGACCGTAATTTAATTATTATTCGTAATACATTTTTCGTTAAACATTGTAAGTTCGTAAAATATTTTGTAGGTTAACTTTCTAGTTCATCGAACTGTAAATAGGTGCTTAATTATGTTATAAATGCATAATATAGACGCTCCAGCAGTTTCTTTAAAATTTAATTAAGATTTTTGTAAACGCTTGCATACATTTTAGAGGGAATTGCTCGTTTGAAAGAGAAGGCGCGAAAACGCAAAGGAAGAGGTTTCGGTAGTGAAGCAGGAAGTGGTGGCGCTTCAGAAAGAGGAAATCGAGGAAGGTAAAACAACTTTAGTTTATAAAAAAAAAAAACACCTGATGAATCTTGTATATTTAATTCATAACGAATTTTTAAACACAATTTCCTGCTTTTGCGCTCTCTTTTATGTACATATAATATGTTAGGTATTTCGAATTTCATTAAGTATGTGAGAAATGTATGATTAAGTTCTAAGATTTTTTTTCAAATATTAATATTTAGTGATAATGTAGTCAATATGATAACACAAGGTGGCCCAATGACCTGATGAAGGTTGCCGGCAGCACAGGACCGGTTGTGGTGAATAGCCTTGGGGTATCCCTATGTCCAGCAGTGGACGTCTTCGGCTGAGATAATGATGATGATAACACAAAATTAATTTTAGAAGAATTATAAATATATAACTAGAAGACTAGAAGTCAAAGCACTAAGGGCAATCTCAAATTCACCATGGGGTGCTAGAAATGTAGAGACATGAATACTTGGAAATGCCTACAGTCACGGAGGAGGTAAGCAGATATTGTGCTAAATACAAGGAGACTGCAAAATCACACAAACGAACTCGCTAGAGATCTAATTCACACCAACAATGAGACTACAAGATTTGACAAGATGGCTAGTACTAGAGTTGAACCAAAGACGCTAGAAGCCAGACATCATTGATTGTGAAATTACTGGATCATTCTCATAATATCATGAGAAGAAAGAGTCAAACGAAAGCCAATATTTAGATCTTTTGGATAAAAACATTTAAGAAATTACACCATTCTCAAGCATATTTTTTGTCACAGATATGACAGCCTTGCTCCAGAAGGCGACGGCAATACTCCAGGGCCTCAGAGATCTGTAGAAGGATGGATCTTATTTGTCAGCAACGTTCATGAAGAGGCCCAGGAAGAAGACATACAGGTATGAAGCCATTTGCATAAATATGTATAAGGCAGGCTAATTTAACCAGCTGGTTTTTATTCGCATATTTATACATATGGATGAAATAAAATAACAATCACCTGTGGCTAATTTACTAAACCACATGTGAATTATTATTACACTTATTACTAAAAAACAAAAGGTCCTAATCTTTGATAAAAAGAATTTTGATATCATTTATCTTTGTCTATGAGCAAATCACAATCACAGGTGAAATCACCATGACTAATATCAAGCATTTCAGTTTTTGATTATGATTTAAAAGTAGCAATAATTTCCAAGTCTACAGTGTAGGCTGTCAAATTTGGTAAAAGTAACACAAGTAGCTAACAGTCTGCTGAGACTGATCTCTACTTGGCTCTAAAACGATAACTATTCACTATCAATGCTACAGAAAACAGCCACCCATATTATCCTGCAGTGTTAGGGAGTGACAACACAAAGTGTAGAGAATCCTTCCCAATACGAGATCACTCCTAGAAGTCTGTGAACACTAGGAGGTTTTTGTGCTTCTAAACTTTCTAGCTTGGTTTAGTCATCTCACCATCTGAATAGGGGACCGTTTTTGAGGCAACTATAGGTCCCCACCAATACCAAAAAATTTGCAACAGACTGATTTCATTTTCATTAAAACACTTTTCTTTAAATATTGCAGAACCAGTTCTCAGAGTTTGGAGAAATTAAAAACATTCACTTAAACCTGGATCGACGCACTGGATTCCTCAAAGGTTATGCGCTAGTTGAATATGAAACCTATAAGCAGGCAGCTGTAAGTACTCACTGTTATAATTAACTGTTTTTTCTCTAAATAACGAACATTAGATATGGGTAAAATATGTTACAAAGTAATAAGTCATAAGCATTGTGTCCCCTTGAGCAATTATTTACATGGAGTACCATGTAAGTATATAAAATCACTACATGAAACCCGGAGCGCATCGCCCGCGTGCTGACCAGTCAGCGGTCAGCGATAGAAACACTCGGTGACCACGCGTTGCTCGCACTCTAGCCCTGCAGTGTCCACACGCAACGATGGCACACTGCTCCCTCTCCCTTCATTCCTAGTAAGTATCCCTGACAAACTACTCATTTACTCGGGCGACGTTTACTGCACAAGAATGCGGCGTCCACCCGTGGTCCACCTAATTCACTGGTTGACACGCATTATCCCACCTAAGCAGTCGACTTAGTGGCGTGCAATAGGAGAGGCCTATGTCCAGCAGTGGACTGCGATAGGCTGAGGATGATGATCCAACCTGGGATCACCTGTCGACAACAGAGCTCTACTGAGCTATGACCATTCTACATCCCTAAAATGTCTTTTTTTTTTTAATTGAAACAGGACCAACATTCTACTTCTTCCAACTCATTTATAAAAAGATTTCTTGAAAAATTTAGTGATGATTTCTTTAAAAAAAGTATTAAAGGTTTGAAATGTTTATCGTTCTAGAGCGCGCGCGAAGCCCTGGACGGAGCCGACATCCTGGGACAACCCATTTCAGTGGACTGGTGCTTTGTCAAAGGTCCTACCAAAGGGCACAAGAAGAGGCGATAGAATATAATGGATTAATTTATACATATTGCTTTTTATTACCGAATACATAACTAAAGTACGTAAAACGTGTATATCCAGTTAATTCTATCATTAAAAGGACCAACCCGCCACTATTTAATTCACCCTTGTCTATGTTTGACACAGATTTTATATTTTTAAGTAATTAATAAATCTTCTAAGATATAAAAGTGGAATGAAACGAACATTGTTACCAGATTTTAATCATCTTGTAAACACTGTTCGCCGTTTAATTGTCTTAAATACTAGTAGATGGGCTATTTTAGAAAATAATCTGAACATACAAGATTGACCTCGAGTCAAAGGCCTATAAATCTTAGGTACTTGCCTCTAGCCTCCATAATGCAAGTTAAGATACAGTAATAGATGTATTATATTTATAAAGTTCTCTATATTATGTATATAGTTTTCTAACACTTTGGAAAAGAAGCATTTTTGAACCCAAAACTGCTGATAAAATTTCTACTTTTGATAAATATAAGATTGATCTTATAACCTCTTTTTTTTTTCAAAGCTTAATCCATGTGTTTCATAGATCTACTAGTAGATACATATCCTAAATAATAGTCTTTGCCGAAAACTAGAATCCCCAAGTTCGTGACGTAAATTTGAGTGCACACAAATCAAAATTTAGTAATTTTTTGTTTGTAATTTCTTACAGGTCTAAATTGTCAATTATTGAATCATAGGTCGCTTTACATTATAGATTGCCACAGGTAGAAAACGTATTGGTTACATTTGGGTATTGGTACATTTTCATATTACATTGTTTTGTTAATTTTATTTTAAAGTTTTTTTTTTCATTTTCATTTTAAATTCAATAAAGCAAATTTTGGTTGTGGTGACACTGTGTTGATCAATTATTATCACTCCTATTTCTTATAACATCTATAAAATAATTATAGGTATATATTTTTAAATTGTCAATTTAAAAAAAAAAAACTCAAATTTTTTAAAAGAGGATAATGAATTTGGTCCCGGTTGCCACACGAACACCTGTGGCAATCGTTAGGGGAAGGTGGGGCAGCCTCATACAGTTTTTATATTTCGTGTTATAAAATTTACTCTGGTATCAATATCTGTATCGATTCATCAAAAACTAGTAGTTTAACTATCTGACTTTATTTCAAGAACATGTAATTTGTGTAAATACACATGTGCGACTTTTAATAAAAGTTTTTAAAAAATAATTAAAATGTATGAATGTACCCCACATGCGGGGCACTCTCATACAGGCTATGGGGCAGATTCATACATGTAAAAAAAATACACAAGTTTAGCATGAAAAGTTTAATTATTCATCAAAATAAAAGTATCAAACCACAAGGTTCTCGAAAACCAAAGCAATTAGTCTATATGAGCAACTAATACTAAGTAATAACCAAATAATACTAAGTAAAAAAGAGAATAACATAAATGTTAGGTAGTTTTTCTTTTTATGACACTGAAGGAAGTTAGTTAACCTAACAGTCTTTCTTGATTTCTTTGATTATAAATATTAAGTGTTTTTCCTGGATTGGAAACGTGCCATGCGTCATTGAAAGCTGTTTTTAATTTCGACTTTAATGGTCCAAATACTCCAACATCTAATGCTTGAAGGCGGTGAGTCGTGTGAGGTGGAAAGGAAAGGCACACAATCCCATTGTCAGTAGTTGATTGCATCAATAGAAATGTGACTTTCATGGTTGTCATATAAAAGGAATATTGGATTTTTTTTCGAACATATGGTGTGTCTCTGAATGTGCTTTAGAACATCAACAAAAATGCTCGAGTTTATCCAACCACTTCTCGTGGCTACACCTAAAGAGCCTTCTGGAGCATCTTCTATGAAGTGGTCCTTAAAATGTACTCGAGGGAAGACGAATAAGGGCGGTATGGTGTTTCCACTTGCTGAAATAATACCACCAAATGTGACCAGTTCTCCTCTTTCGGCAGACACTATTTGACCAACCTGTTTTGGGCTCTTGTCATCAAAAATTTTGGGTGTGCTCAGAACAGTAGAAATACCAAATTCGTCGTTGTTGAAAATCCGATCGGCATTTAAATTGTGTTTACGGTATATATTCTCTAGGATCTGGGAGAAATAAAAATGTGGGGCACATTCATACAGTATGAATGTACCCCGCTTACTGCTGTATGAACCAACCCCATCACAAGAAAATGAAATAAAAATATTCCTAAAAAACAATCAACTATAAATATCATTATTCACGTATCAATTTAAAAACTTGATCCTATTACCTTTTGAATAAAATAGTACTGAAAAATCTAGAAAAAAGCTTTTATTAAAAAAAAGATGTTTAAAGTGAGGTTTTAAAATTACTTACGCGTCGCCGAATCAGGTTCCATGTCACCTCATCGCTAATTTCCCACCGACTGTTGTCAAACTCCGTGAGCCAATACACACATAAGTAAGGTATGCGTACACGGATAAGTCGTTCAGTTGATGTGCGCCTAACAACAGATGTATCTAGTGTATGACGGTGCCCCTTGTATGAATCTGCCCCACTTTCCCCTACGAGTAAATGAAGCCTCCGCGCTCCGGGAGTTTTCTAAACCTCTCCCGGTCTCGCTCCGCCATCTCCTTTGCAAGCATAACTTGCTCGCACAAGGAGACCGCGGATTTCCACGAACTCTCGCTCCGTACCCTCGGCAATCATGTTACCGAGCGAGAGAATTCCCACTCCGATGGCCGCCACGAGGCAACGCCTCTGCTCCACCCACGCCGGGCATTCTGCTAGCGTATGGAGCGTTGTGTCCACGGTCGCAGTGGTGGCACTCAGGCGTTGGCTCCTTGCAGATCAGATACAGGTTATCTCCGAAGCATCCTTTCCCGGTGATCACCTGCGTCAACCGGTATGAGAGAGTTCCGTGATGCCTCTCGAGCCAATCCTCCATAACGGGTCTTACCACCATCACGGCGTGCCCAAGTAAATGGAGCCCTAAAAGGTTCGAGTCTTTCTACAGAACTTCGATATGGAGGTCTGATGGCAGTCGCTTCAAATAATCGAAGTTCAGCCGTTTCGTAGTAGGTACACTAAAAGTCGACCCCATTTAGGTTGCGAAAGGGCTTAGAAGAAGAATAAATTTAAATAAGAGATCACTCAAAAGAGATGGTGGCTAACTGAAAGAACCACAGACCACCATCTCGCTTAAGAAATCAATCGTCCCTCATTTCCGAGGGTGATCATACTCACTGCGGGACAATGTCAGCTAACGTTCTGAGTAGGTCAATGGTTCAATAGAAAAGAAGTTCCATATTTATATCCTGAGGATACCTGTGGATATCCCGTGGACTAGCGACATATTTAACTTTTATAGGCCTTATAAAACATTAAAAAAAATTATTAGAATTAATTAAGGGACGTGGGACAAGGAATTATTTAATAAACCCGGAACCTGGTCCTAGGGCAACTAAAAATGTTCTGCATAATTACATGTTATGGTGTAGTAATAGTGGTGTGGTGACGTATTAAAAATACGGAGTGTCATCACTACGGGAACAAACTACGCAGGTCAACAGCACTGTAAAGAGAAAGAAAACTTGAAACAATCCGTAGCTGTCTGGCCAGCATGGTATAATAGGCCAAAACCTCCTTTCTGCAGAGAGACCTATATCTAGCAGTGGACTATTAACTATTTAGGCTGTCGATGCTGATGAATGATTAGTGTACTATTATGTATGTATTATCCGTGTGGTGACGGATTAAGAATATGCTGTGTCACCACCCCAATTCATCCAGTGGGTGTCGTAAGAGCCGTCTAAGGGAGCAAACAATGCAGGACAACAGCACTGTAAAAAGAAGGAAAACTTGAAACAAACCCTACACCAACCCGTCTGGTCCGTGTGGTATAGACAAAACCTCCTTACTAAGGAGGGGCCTATGTCCAGCAGTGGACTGGTAAAGGCTGTTGATGATGATGTATGTACTCGGGTAGCCATCAGAGATACTTCTTAAGCATCATCTTCTGAAAAAGAATTTGGAATTAAATATGAAGTAAATAAAAGACTCGATAAAAAATACCACAAACATTTACTAGTAAATTCACTTCATATGGATCATGTGTGCGAGAGACCAGTTGTGGGCGATCTCGGTTACGTCGTCGATCTTCACTCCGGCGGCGGTCACCACACCCAGTTGGTACCGCGCGAAGGCGCGAGCGTCTCTGTAGTACAATACTTCCATGCATTTACGGACTAAGGCCCTGTAATAAAATAAAAAATATTTAGAATATCAGGCCATAAAAGAAACTCTTGCGTATTTACACGTTACAGAGTGCGTATTTTTATGTACATACTCGACACTGCGATGTAATTTACACTTTATTACGAAGAAGCTCAATGTTGATTTTCAGTTTATCGTTATTTTTTATTGGTGATAATAATATATGATTACTTGTAGTTTTCTTAAATGAATATTTAGTTAAAGCATCAGACTAGTGAGACGATGGCAATTGTAACCTATGAATTGTGATCTGAATATATTTATTTCTTAAAAATACACTTTGGCACTACATACACTACAAATCGAGTTTGTACACTGATTGGGTAGATCATGGATAATAAAGTGGGTTTAATCAGAGTAAGACTATTTATGTGACTACATTGACAGATAAACACAGCTTGTTTGTGAGATACCAGTTTAACTGTCTACAAAAATCCAACGAAATAAAAGCATAATAACAGTATTTTTTTTAATGGGCCTAATTCCTCCCACACGCCCAACACTGTAACTCCTGTACACCAGGACCAGCAATGAGCCACGAACACATCGAGTTATGACACTCGGGAAGTCCCAGGAAGAAATTAAACTGTCTTGGAACCCGCAAAGAAATTAATCAGAAGAAAATTGGAGGAGTTTCAAATACAGTAAATCCACTTCCCTCCTTAGCTTAGGAGACAAAATGAAGTAAAATAGGCATACACCCTTTACAACAGAGAAGCACCACGGCCACAAAATATTACGGGTCCTAGGTGAGCTACAGTAGAGGAGATGTATCCGTTTTATGAATGTTTGTAAAGTCTCCCGTGGCACAAGGTGTATTCCTAGTGCGATAATGGTCTTTTAAAATGAAATAACTGTTGCCTGTAACTTACTTGGCAGTCTCCTCATCTAGATTTCCTTTGTCAACTCCTTCTCTAAGCAAAGGAGTTGCCATGTACGCGCCTAGGCCAGTCGCGATGGCGGCATCTTCATATGCTGTTCCTAACTTGTCAACTGAGCCAAGGAAAGGTTCACCATCCTAGTGTAAAAATTAAAACAATTGAAACAAAGCTTGATATTTCACGGTAATAATCGACTGTAATAGAATGTTCTGCAAAACATTATGATCTCAGGAATGCTGTAAGGCTGTTCTGCATTCTTCATGCAGAGAAAATTAAAAAGGATAGATCCGTAGCTTTTATTAGCACTAGAGATATTATTTATATTTATAATGGTATGTATCATCATCAGTGTGACTAGCCCAGTCCATCTTTACACAGTATTAACTCTGAGTATCTTGTATTTCTTTTACAGTAAATTGCTTCTTCAGAACTTCTTAGTATAGAATAAAGAAATAAAAATCTCTACATTACTGAATTATATAATATTTCACAAAACGTAAATTGTGGAACTTAGATTCCAGCTTCCCTGGTCTAGGCTTATAATACCTGACGTTCACATTTTAATTCATAATTATGCGCCTTAAAATATACCAGTCATACCATATTACACTAGATATTATATTCTTAATTATATTTTATGCTCAATAAATTATAGTGGCCTATATCTTATTCTATGTAAATTTATCAGATGTGCCACCACAACCAAAGTTTTGTTGTGTTTTTAACAAAGTTATTTCAGGAATAATAACTTCACACAGCACATAAAATGATCGCGCCCATCACAGCTATTTGTTCTGGGTGGGAATCGAACCTGTGACCTCTGGCTCAGCAGTCAGGATTACTAACCACCACACCAACAGGATAGGTTATGAAATAGTGTTTGCATATAGTATAACTAGAATAATATGTACCTGAATACCAGCTACAATATAGTTGCTCCACAATGGGTCCATTTTGCAGCGTTTGTTGTACAGTACACGGGTCAACCAGCAGTATAAAGAACGCGGCTTAAGGTTGAGACCATCACCGATGCATTGTTCATCAATACTAAAAAGCAGACAAATTACAGCCATAGATTAAAATAGTATTTTTTTGGAAATGTTTTAAACTGTTGACAGGCGGGACTCAATTCCCTCCTAGCGACTGCGTGCAGGTACTTCCCGAAGCAGCCGTGCCCGAAGAGGACCTGCGTCAGCCGGAACGAAAGGGTCCCGTGCTGCCGCCCTGCCCACTCGACGATGACCGGCTGGAGCGCCTCCACGGCGGCAAAGCCAGCACGTGGGGCCTCAAGCCGGGACGACCAACGGGCCATCGTGGCTCGGCGAGCAGCCTCAATCCACTCGCGTATCTTTTCGGGCGGGGGCCGAAAGCCGCTATCCGCCCGGAACTCAGCCGTCCGCCGATATACTTCGGCGAGCACTTCCGCCTCCAAATCCCACGGGGGAGTTCCGGCCAACGCGCACGCTACCTCCGTCGATACGGTGCGGTAACCGCGTATGGCTCTAACCGCCAATATCCTCTGAGGGCGCCAGAGGCGTGCCCTATTCTGGGCGGTCAGAGCCGCCGCCCAAGCATTTAGTACTACTATTTTAGGGATATTCTTCTATAAAAGATGACACTGATCCACTAGAAAACTTGTCTTTACTCACTGTTTTAATTTCTTAATTTACTCTATTACCTATTACATCATTATCTCTAAGTTGTATTTATATGACACATTCAGTATTAACTTCATAACCATCATGTTGCTGCTCTTCTTCCAATTTTAGTCAGGGTTGGTGGCCTGCCTGACGCGACTCTTATAAGAAAAACGGATGGGGTAAGAGATGGGGCAAGTCTTCAATTCAATTTATTTGCTATACTATGGGTTATACTATAAATAGATGGAACAGATACAGCTGGTTTCACGCTAGTTAAGCTGAATGTCACAGCATGCAAAAATTAACAATAATTATAATAGCCACTATTTGTAACAAAATAATATCCAGTTGTGTCATTGTTCCAAATAATAATACAATTCTAAAGTTAAATAATACAAAATAAAAAAATAATAATAAAAAGTATAACATGTCAAAGGTGTCTGTCCTTTGTTGTTAATTCGAGACCATTGCCTCGCTCACCATATCGTTATAACTTGTCTAAAAGTATGCCAAATTTTACATGATCGAATACTTTGGCCATATCCATAAATAGAGCAATGATATAATGCCATATTTATTGATTTATGTTTCCTGAATCCCTGAATGCTCTATCACAAATAGTTCATGACTTTCAAAAAAATTGTAAGGGCTATTGAAAATAACATTTTCAAACATCTTGGAAAATATAGAAGGCAATGGTATCGGTTGATAGTTATTTAAATTGTCTTAGATAGAATAAGATGAATAGATGGATGGAAATAAGAATGCAGTCTGTGTTGTGCTTGGAGAAGCCTAGAACCAAGACTTCAACTAGCCTTTTAAAAAACAAAATTTTGTACTTGAATATGGTCACGAAAATTGGTTTTATTATTTAAAAAAAAAAAAAAGGAACATGATTCTTGAAAAATTTCCGTCAGTTTATTATTTTCATTAATTAGAATAATATTGTTTTTTTCTTCTTATTTTTATGGAAATCAATTTAATGGAGTCACATTTGCTACACTGAGTACGATTGCTACACTTTGTATTAGTAACCTTCGACTAGTTTTGAACAAGTCAAAGAAGATTTTATTCAAACTACGATTGCTAGATCTCAATAGAACAAGTGTATACACTTTGACAGTAGATTAGTATCATCATTCATAGAAAAGAATCCATTACTAAACTGTTTTAAACTAATAATTAGTCTGCTTAACTAAAACTTTCAATATTATAATACTTTATAGGCTCAACCAGTGACACTATGATCTCACAGAAAAGCAATGTTTTTGTTATTTTTCTTTGAGTGAGAAAAGTTATTGAAACTCAAACTCAAAATATCTTTATTTCATAAAATTCTTTTAAAAATTGTTTGTAATTGTCTTAGACTCGAAAGTCATAGATAAACACACACAATAGCAACAATCTGTTTTGCCAAATGTTTAGAAAAAAAAAAGTTAATCCATTATATGTCAGTGCTAACCTACAACCACCCCTTTCCAAGGAGTTGAGGGTTATGAGAAGAAAAGGCAAACAAACTCATGGCCAAAACCCATTGGAGACCAACAACCAGTGCTTTCTCCTAATTCTGAGGGGAAATGATGGCAATACACTTCTGTCGAGTTGCAGCTGTCCAACGGCGGCGGCAGTCACATACCATCAGGTGACCACTTGCTTGTTTCTTTTTTATTACATTAAAAAACCGAGACAGTCATAAGCACTGCCGACAGAAGTGATAACTCAAAACAATGAAACTATGCATCGCTAGTCTGACGCAATACATTCCTAGCATGTTGAGGTAATTGATAAGTTTTCCCCTACCAAAAATCATTCAATACGGCTACAGAAGTTTTCACGGCAAAAATATAATATTTTATCTTCACAACAACTATGATATTAAAAAAAATACTTACATTTTCTGTTCAATTATGTCTTTCAAGTACTGATAATCAGCATAATCACCACCAGAGCCAAGCATTATCAAATCATTGACTCTTATTACACGGGGACAGTCACGGAATCTAGCTAGTGTGCCATAAGACCCAAGTGTATCAGCAGCAATCACACAGCCTTTATCAAACTTGACTCCAATGACTGTTGTAGTAGTGGTGATTGGTTGGGCAGAGCTGGAATCATTGTAAATGTTTTTTGTAATGAGTACTTAAAATAACTGATGTTAACCAAATTACCATTTGATTTACCAAATATTTTGAGGAAACTGACTGACAGAGTTTAGGCATACAGTCTTCTTTTGTGTTGTATATACTATGTACTTGTATTATATGTATATACTGGTGGTTTTAATTCATAATTCAAATATACAAAGACTTATTTCTAACACATTATCATGGTAGCATTTAAAAAGGTATACATATAGAAATACTCTGAAGTGATGCTTTTGTTTGGTAAGATTTTAAGAATATTATAAATAAGGCTATAATACAAAAAAAAAGAAACTTTAAAGCTTATGTAGGTAGCAATTGTATTGCTCATTAAAAAAACAAAGGATGATATGCAAAAATGCATTATACCTACTGACTGAATGTTCGATAATTGTTATAAAAGTATATATGAAACTAGTAAATAAAGAGAAGAGGTCTACAGTTCAAAATTAGAATACTACAATACTTACTGTGCCTTGAATTCTTTTACCGAGTGGTTGCTTGGACCAAAACTCGAAGAGTTCCCAGGGAAGTTATAGAACGCTCCAGGGGCAGGACCATTCTGCCAGAAAGGGGCTGGGTTCATCATATCACCCATAAATGCCATTTTCTAGTATTAATTTTAGTTCTAAATACTGAAATGAAAAATTCCTACACCACACGGAATGACAAGCGGCAAGAAACGAATTTGACGGAAAATGACAAACAGTTTTTGATTAGAATACATGTCATTACACTTTATAGATGGGACCTTTTAATGGATTATAATTTTTAATGGATGTTTTCCTAATATACAATAATTTAAATAGGTATTTAATTATCTCGTTTTATTTTTTTTCATTTCATTATGCTCTTCTAAGATTAACTTAAAAATTACTTTAAAATTTCTCACATTACGTGATCCGGTACGTAAGTTTTCGTTCTGAAATAATGCTTGAACTCTATTTGTCCTTTATTTTTTGTAATAGTTCTCATTTAAACCTAATTTACTAATCAGGTTTTTAAATTGATTAATATTAATCTAAGTTATAAATTATCATTTGCTTGTTTATTGCTACTTTTGATTGTATTCGGGTTAAAGTATAGTGTTTGCAGTTGTAACTAACTTCACTGCAATCTTCAAGTTTGACAAGCGTCTCGATATTTCTGAACGAATCTTTTGCTTGTAAATGTATTGCTAGGTTCACGTTCTTTCAATTTCCTCTCAAAAAGTGACACAACAAAATGTCTAAAAGAGGTTCGTGAAATATGAAATATCTGTTTTAATCTAGGTTTTTCGTGTTAAAATTTATCTTGCAATATGTGTAAAGTCGTACTAGTATTATTGATAACTAAAACCCATGTTTATTTTAAATATTCACTTGATATTTCGTGAGTAGCAGTGTTGTGATGAAAATGTATGAAGTGTGGTTTTTCTGTTTTAAGGACGTGGTGGTTCAGCCGGAGCGAAGTTTCGCATTTCCCTGGGTCTCCCAGTAGGAGCAGTTATTAACTGTGCAGACAACACAGGTACATACCGTCACATTTGTGTAAGAATGTTAACCTAACCTCACCACACGTTTGATTGAACATTGGTGATGATATCTAATGGAGACACATTGAGTGTCTTGAAATATGATGATTTCTTCCTTGGCTGTGTCTGAATATGTTCAGTCTTATGTTTGTAGCGATAGGCATATTATGTTGGGTGCACTTAACCCGAACTTCTGTAGAAAATGATCTGCGCATTAATAGTCAGTCTTGGCGCCATCGCTGACTATCCTTATGTCTTGTTTTCATTTTAATATTGCCTTTTGAATGTGTTCAATGTAATTGTGTTTTGTGTGTGGTGTTTAATATAATTTTCACACGAGTTAGGTTTGTCTTAAATTAAGCTGTCAAAATGACAAAAAATTTTCACCATTAGTTATATGTAACATGTTGTGCAGGTTTAACTCCATCTGGAAACAGATCAAAATAGGAATATCTAGTATGATAATTACAAAAATGATGTGTATTTATAACCTAGTTAGGAAAACACCTATTTAATTAACAAAGAAAAGGTGTTTTTTAGCCTTTAAAGTACTTATAGAAGTCTTTTTCCTATCAGAAGTTTGGTCTTAATATGAATAAGGGTAATTTTGGTATTTAACCTGGCATTAAATTATCCAGTTTGTGTTTTGAAAAGTTTTTTGCACAACAATGTTTAAATGTTGGTTCACTTAGAGTATAAACATGAATATTATTAGAAACTACATACCTCTACAGTACCAGCTGGTACCCAGCCCTGCTCTGGTTAATGTTGGTTTTGTCAAAAATTCTTTCTTTGAAGACAACTAATCTATCTCTGTGCTAAATTAATTGAAAACTATTTAGCTGTTCTGAATTATTTGAAGAATAAACACCCATACATCCATCCTCACAAACTTAAGCATTAACAGTATTAACGGGATAGTTGCAGAAAAGTAATCTAAGAGTAAGTTAAATTCCAAAAAGATATTCAACAGGCTTTTATGTCATGTTTTACTCTAAAGACTTAACAATCAAAATTATATGAAAACCTTAAAACAAAATTCTAGTTGTAGTTTTACTAAAAGTCAAAGTACTTAAAAGTCTAAGCCTTATGCTATCCACATTCAACACATTCTTAAAACTAATATGAGAAGAGAAACACTGATCAAGGAAGTAAACAAATTGATTAAATCTTTTGGCCACTTCTGAATTTGGTTGTGCCAAAATTGTTTGTACCAACCCCACGTCTAATATATTTAATTTAAATTCAATGATTAGCTTTTCCCTTTCATTTTTATTTCTGACACAATCATTGAGCAAATGTGGTACATCCTCCACCACCCCACTGCTCGCCATTGCGTAGGACAAAGCTTGTAATATTGCAATGAGTTCGAATGTCGTAATAGATACTTCTGAACCTAGGTGTAAAAACCTACACCTAATCCATGAGCGCCCACATCAGAATACAATTTATTCCAACCACTATAGTTTGTATTTAACTCTTCTAGATGTTATTTTTCAAAGTATTGGGTCGTCCATAGTGACATTTCGCTAGTGATATGCTATCTAAATTAATATTATTAATAATCTAAATTTGTTTAAGATCCTCAAATAGAGCACTCATTTCAGAAATTAAAATATTAATACCATTTATACCACAACCTAAGAACTACTAAGAGTTAATAAAAATTGTATGCTTGTTTTCAACCTAATGAGTGTTCATAGGTGGCGGTAGTCACTTACCATCAGGGGACTCGTTTGCTCATTGTCCACAATATTTTAAAAGAAAAAAAGTTAGAAAACCACCCCTCTCCTACATAAATTGTATAAGACAAAGTAAGCTAAAAAATAATGTCTTCACTGCTTTCAGGAGCCAAAAACCTGTATGTCATTGCAGTCCAAGGTATCAAGGGTCGCCTGAACAGGCTTCCCGCTGCTGGATCTGGTGACATGATTGTAGCTACTGTCAAGAAGGGAAAACCTGAACTAAGGAAAAAGGTGAGAGATTTTTACCAATTGAAATAATATCAGCACCTTTGCTCAAAAAAAACATTACAGATTAAAAAATCAAAATCAGTTAAAAACTTGCTTAGAGCTACAAAATTTGCTCTAAGGCAAGCTTCTATTGTTGTTGAAAACTATTTTTTGTTTTTTTTAACTTAAAACCTGAAGAGTGCAACATTGTGATGATATTTCAGTGGAGGTGCTATATATTTGGTTGATATTGTTTCAAAGAAAAGTAGGGTCAGTGTATGACAAGTTAAGAAGTAATAGATTATCTTGTTATGGACATGTCACACGGAGGAATGAGGAAAATGTGATATGTGATGTGAAATGAACACACACATGAAACAAGAGAAGGGGAAGACCAAAGAAAGGGTAGATGGACTATGAGAGTGAAGATATGGCTAGGAAGTAGGCATGGGACAAAATCACAGTGAACTGTGAAATACCAGTGATTTATCATTCGATTTTTTTGTATGTAGATTAGGATTACCACTTACTCTCGAGTTGTTGCAATAAGCTGTTTTCAGACTATGCATAAAGACCCTATTTTGCCTATTCAACAGAAAATCAAGTAATTATTTTACTATATATAGCTACAATTCCCAACATTTTAGAATTTATAAAATACCAGATTTATTGTTAAATAGCGTCTTACCTACCTACCTAGCAACCCTAACTTAAGTACGCAAAAATCGAATGAAAATAACAGTTCACTTGTGATTTTGTCCCATGTCTACTAGGAAGGGACTGAACAGTGAAAATACAAATGATAGAGTGGAATTAAAGAATCACACTGGCTGCGCCAACAACAAATAAAATTGGGATAAGGGTAGGCAGATGATGATGATAGTTTCAAAGAAAAATAGACATACCAAATATTATAAGATATAAAAGTTAAAATCCTTGTTGCAATTGTCTTGCCTGACGTGTTCCTTTTACTTATTTCTTGGGCAGTTCATGAAGGGTTATGCAATGATGATACGCCAAAGGGTTTCGCTATAATGTTTTATGTCTGAATTGTAAAACAGTGTGTTGATTACCTTGGCTGACTGAGCAAACCCACTGCCCAAGCCAGATGTTTTACGTTAGTCTAAATCATTATAATGTTAGGATAATTTTAGCTTTTTCTCACTATGAAACGACAATGGCAGGCATGTATGGGACTTTTGTACCACCTTGCGTAGCTCATGGTAGGGATTATTGTTGTATTTATTTGTCTTGTGATATCATCGACAATTACAGTTTTAACCCTCTATAACTCAAGAACATAGATTTAAAAAAAAAAATGTGTACGGTTAATTAACAAAAAATAAAAATACACGTGTTTCATAATTTTTCATTTACTCAATTATTTTCCAAAAAAAATGGAAAAACAGGGAGCGTTGCCTGGGAGCAACACTGAGTCATAAGCTTAAAATCTATATATAGGTGGACGTTATGAAAGGTGGAAGTTTTTGAAGCAGTTCTTGGTTTTAGTATAGCACAACGCAACCCCGCATTTTTCGCATATATTGTGAGTAAATCCATTACACTTTGGGAACTTGCACCTAATTTTTTTATCAGACCATTGGGGCCAATGCCCAATCTGGTCTTGCCGTACTGCCATTGGAGGTGCATGCTGGGCAGGTCCTTTATGTTTTTTTGCTTGTATCTCGTTCTCCAGCGAACGGCGACTAGACATACTAGGCTTTATGCCCAATTTACATAGAGTTACTGCAACATCCAGACGAAAATCTGCTGACGATAAACGGCATGAAAGGTCTTTGTCTCTAGAGACTCTTTTATAAAGCAACCATGCGTTTGCCATTGTGAGATCCAAGTAATGGTAGAACACACGTATTTGCCATCGTTTGCTACGCAACTGTATTTTGTAAATCCCCATGATGCTGTCGATTAGATCAACACCACCCATGTGGCGATTGTACTCTCCTACAACATTAGGTCGTTTTATATTCACGTACCTGGAATTTTGTTTGTCCCATCTGCGAACATCAGTTTCAGGCTGTATTCCAGCAAAAGTAGAAGCCAGAGTTACAATTTTATTGTCTTTCCATGCCACATTAGATATATCGGTGCCGTTGAAGTCAGCTACGTATTCTTCTGAATAACCTCTGGGTTTTTTCAACATCACCTTTTCTGGTAGCAACTTACAATCCGGGATTCTATTTCGTCTTATAGTACCAAGACTGTAAATGCCTTCTTTGGCCAAATATTCCATTAGACGAAGAGAGGTAAAATAATTGTCAAAATACAATTGGTAACTCTGGTGCCTTGGAATCATGCGCGCTAACCTCACGACGATGTTGGATGATGCACCCAAATCTGGCTCTTCTGGAAGCACAACGTTTTCCTTGCCAGTTTCAATTTCTGTTTTATAGGCGTATCCAGAAACGCCACTCAACACGTAGACTTTGTAGCCCCATTTGTGTGGTTTTTGAGGGTTGTATCGCTTCAACATATTCCGTGCTTTAGTGGAACACATTTGCTCGTCCACACAAAGGTGTTCTTCCAAAGGGACCTTCTTGTAAGCTGCATTCATCGACTCGACCAGTGGTCTTATTTTAAAAATTCTATCATGTTCAGGATCGTTCCTAGGGAGATTTTTGCTGTTGTCATTGAAGTGTAAAGTTTGGCGCATTTTCTCAAATTTATTCAATGACATAGTATCCTGTATTATTTTTGTACCAAGTATTGAACTCCAGTGGTTAGTAACTCTAGGTAATCGAATAAGAGACATTAGATATACCATACCCATGAACTGCCTGATATCCATTTCTGTCACACGAAAAGTGCTGTTAGGATCATTCTGAACTTGATAAAGATTGGTCTCCTCTGAAATCATCTGAATAAGTTCTTGTGGAAAAAGGTAAAAGAAAAACTGAATAGGAGTTTCTAGCTCTAGAAGTTCAGTACCCAAGTTCTTGTTACCCTTGAACCTGAGCTGCTCGGCATTTAACTGTAGACTCTTCTTCTTCCAGCGTAAATTCGGTTTGGTGGGCTTCTTTGTAGTTTGATTGATTGATTGATTGCTCTGAGCTGATGAAGGTTGAGGAACGGTAACGTTTGATGCCGTTTCAGCGCTTTGAAGTGATGGAGGTGAGCTTTCATGATTATTTTCTAAGGTTTCTATAATAGAATCCACGTCGATATCGAATTCGGCAGTATTGTATTCAAATGATTCTAATTGAGGTACAAAATCTGGGTCTGCGAGGCTGTCATCGTCAAAATCCAAACCGTCCTCACTGTCATCACAATTCTGCAGCACCGAGGTAATATGCTCGTCTAAAAGGGTTCGAAGAGGCCGCTTACGAGCTGCCCTGGAACATGATATAACGCCCGTGTGTACACACAAACTAATACAAAATAAAACCCCTATCCGTCAATGTAGCCTACGAGCAACAAACACAAATTTTCAAAAATAAAACAAAATAATGAAAATAATTGTTATGAATAACGTAAAACATTAAATTTGATGCACTTACCTGTCCATGTTATCAAAATAAACCCTAAAAACACGAAAACCTTTTTTTTAAATACTTTTCAATTCGGAGCACGCGCGAACTTATTCAAACCACTAACAGCTATGTGAAAAAACTTCGACTTGTGACAGGTAACGACATCTAGTGAATTTTTTTAGTACTTATTCGTTACTTCTGTTTGTAAACTATGGTATACAGTGCAATATAATGTAAAAAAACTAATCGTATGAATTTGGTGGAAGGTCGAACGCTATGTTGCTTACAGTCTACATCATGATATAGAGGGTTAATTACCAGAATTTTTGAACTTTGCGTTCAAAAATAATTTTAGTTTGTAGTTTGCATACAGGCTGTACTGAAGATACCAATGACAGCAAGCTGTCACAAATGAATTGTCATTGCTGTCAAAAAGTTAATCTAGATATTTTTCGAAATCATTTGTTTATGAATGTATATTCTGGTTTCGTCTATAAAATGTTGCCCTGTTAAATAAACTACTTTTATCACATAATAATTGATTTAAAATAGTCATTCCCTTATTACTTCGTCTAATCTGTACAGTCAACATTATTAATAAAGAAATGTTTGTTTTTAACTGCTAACACTAGTGAGCTCATTCATTAATCTCGATGTTAACATAGTGTTTTTTATGTAATTTATATTTTATGCATGGCAAGTTTTAACAACGTAGGAACGCGTTTTTTTTAACAACACTTGAACGTTTAGTTATTTCAGTTGTAACAATTCCTTGAGAAGCATTTATTTACTTTTAGCAAAATTCTAAAAATATTATAATTACATGAAGATAGTTAGGAAGACTCACTTTATAAACGGTACAAATCTCATAACCATCCATCATGTATAACTAGCTGTACAGGATCTGCTGTTGTCCTTTAGCAACAGGCTCTTTACCTAATGTACTAAGCTTCTGGACTAAACTTGAAACTTGACTATAAAATCCTTCTCTGTCAACCCCTGCTTAGTTTGCAGGTTTGAATTATAGAGATGAGTGATATTGTTGAAATGTTAGTAATACTTTAGTATTACAAGAATGTTATATTAAAATGCTCTCACTTCGTAATTGTTAAGTGACTTATTAAAATATTGCCAGAACGATGTCTGTCTGGGCAGCTAGTTGATGTTAAAAACTAAATCGTATTTTTTCAGGTAATGCCGGCAGTTGTGATCAGACAACGGAAACCATTCAGAAGGCGGGACGGGGTGTTTATATACTTTGAGGATAACGCAGGCGTGATAGTGAACAACAAGGGTGAGATGAAGGGATCAGCTATCACAGGACCTGTTGCCAAGGAGTGCGCGGATCTCTGGCCCCGTATCGCGTCTAATGCTAGCTCTATTGCCTGAGGAGATAATATACGGTTAAGATAATCAATGTGTTTTAATTTTGTGCCGTTTTAAACCTTCCTTCAACTTCTGAACTGAAATTGCAATAAAAAGTAGGGTAAACTTTAAGATTACACGGAAATGACCGAATAATATAGGTAACAAACTAGCTATTGCCAGCGACTTTACTCGCGTCTCTACATCCCTTTTTGGAGTTTACTCCGTAAGAATCTAATTTTATATAAGGCGCCCGCCCCGTCTGAAAAAAATATGAAGAGTAAAATTTAGTGATCGAATAACCTCGTTACGTTTTTTGTGCGCAACTTATCGTAGGCACCTTTCACATGTGTGTGTAACTTGTATACTGTGCACTCGAATCGTTCATAACGAGTAAACTCCATTCGTGTGTCGAAGCTAACACACACTTTTTTTACCTTTTAGAGGTGAAATTTTCAAAAATCCTTGGTGATTACAACATAAATTCAGCTACTTTAATTCGAGTTTGTGTTGTAGTATGTTAGTTCTTCATTGATGAATCAGATAATTATATACATATTTAGATTTCTCTTTTAGTAACGTTGTCTGGTTATTGGTAATGCAGATCTACAAATTGTAAGAAGAAAATAAATACGATTTAATTTCTACTGCATATTTTTATGATTAATTCATAAAAATATGCAGTAGAAATTAAATCGTATTTATTTTCTTCTTTTTTTGACAAAAGATAACAAGTATTTCAGTAGAACAAGTAACAATATAACTAGGTATATATAGTGGAGGACGGAGAGGGGAGAATTGTTGAATTGAATATTGGAAATATCTCTAAGACCCTAATATAAATCAAAATGTAGACTCAGAAAATTTCACTCACCTTCTCGTGTCACTGACTTGGTCACCATCAGGGATTTTAATTTTGATCACACGAAGAATTTGTCGTGGCCTCAGTCTAAGTTTGAGATGTAAATGTCACGTCAGCTTTGCAATTTTCAATCAGGGACCAACGAATTCTGATATTTGGCGACTAATTAGCGACAATTTTTTTGTGTTATCAAATTTTAAATCCCTGATGGTGGCCAAGTCAGTGACAGTGACACCGTCTGCTTCGATTGTCAGGCGGAGTATTGACGCAGAACGACCTCCGTCCTCCATAAGCGCAGGCCTGGGGGTGACAGGTTAGGCCATCTGTCACCCTAGCAGAAGCAGGCCGGGGTGGCGGCGAGCGCGTTGCGAAGCGCGCTCGCTTCCAGGGAGCACAGGGAACTTGGGGTTCCCACACGGGGGGGGGTCGCTACTCGTCTGTAGATGACCCGAGGTATGTCGGGGTACCAGGGACTTCCTTTCTAGGGGATACCTGGATCCCCGGCTATTAGTACCCGAGACGGCGTGCGGTTTTAGTCGGTTCGAGTCCGACATGCCACCGACAGGTGGTATCCGAGGGGATTTTCGCACGGAAAAAAAAAGGCGGAGTATTGAAACAGCATGTATGAGTGTTATGGGCTCTTGCAGAGCTGAATGAAATAACTAAAAAATCGTTAATGTAATCTTTGCATGGTAACGATAACGTCCTCGTGAGTAAATAGTATTCCCAATCGATATTTTTTGTGTACAAAGATAAAAGAGTTAACACATTATTTGTACACCATAGATACCGTTACATAATTGTGTTAACAGGTAATGTAGGGGGGCCTCAAGACCGGATTAGAAGCCACTTCGCTTTTGACGCCAATCATTAATTTTTGATGTAACCTCCATATTCGTTAAAAAAATAAATTATGATGTGTCCTTTTTTTCCCTTTGTCATTTATAACTTGAAAGCAATCCTAGCGAGTTCAGTCTATGAATTAGTGACCATTCTTAACACTTTGAGACCCTGAGAGAGCACGTTAAGCCGTCCGTTGGTCCCGGTTGCTTTACAGGTAGATGGTGCCCTAAACAGTCTTTCTACAGAATTTCGATATCGCCTGGTACTTGTGGAGGTCTGATAGCAGTTCAGCCGTATCGCAGTACTTAAAGCCTTACTTAGACTTAAAGCCGACCCCAACCTAGTTTGGGAAAAGGCTAGGAGGAAACTTGATTACTTACACTAGCCGACAATAAATTAGAGTTTTATAGTAATAGGTAGGTATGTGTAGAAAACAAAATTGACTGAGCTACACGTACTCGGAGCTAAAATATCCACTTGTCAAAGGTTCAGCAGATCTTTTGCCTTTTTCCTTTCAGCCTTCAGCCTTTTTATTGCTATAAATAGTGTAACCAGGCATCTTCATAATCAGCAATTGTATAAGAGCTCTACTTCGGTGCAATCTCGTCTACATAATATAGGCATAGGTAGGGTAAGAAGGGGAATGGCGTTCACTGAAGGAAAAAAACGCTGTATTTCTTTAAATATTTGTTTTATATCAAAATTTCAATAATGAACTAAATCTTTAACTATTAGATAATCAACATTTTTAAACCAAACGTAATTATCTTTGACACATTACTGGTAGGAAAACTTACCCCGGACTTTGGGTAACGCCACTCAGGCTAACGTTGTAAATATTATTTGGCAGGAACTTATGTTTTCCCATAAAGTCACCAAGCTTCTCGTAGAAATATGTTATTTCTTCTTTATTAATAGTAGAAACCCTATTTAAGCTCGTTCCTTCAGCTTTGCGTATAGCGACTGAAACTCTTCAGTCTCATAAAGCCATGTACCCAAAACCTAGTAAATAAGTTCTTAAAATCTCCGATGCTGAGTCCAAAATACAGCGAATCTAACAGCTTAACTTGTTCAACTATTTCATTTTGATGCTGTGGGCGAAAATCGGCTTACAACCTAGTCTTGAGTAGCGTATATTATTATTGTTAATCGATCTCTCAAAGTTGTGAATTATAGCCGCCGCCGCTGAACAAAATTGAAAAAGGGGTGTCCCAAAGTCAAGCCGCAAAACAATCCCCCTTCAATCGCAACTTTAGATTGAAGGCCTATTTCGCTCCAAGTCGCTTTAGCGGTGGTCCTTTGGCGATTTCTGGGCATATCTGTAAGAAAAAGTGAAATAAATAACTAGATGGTAATGGCGCTCAGATGAGCGGTAAAACCCCGTCCCGATCGTTTTGAATTTGATTTTACATTGAATAACATTCAGAAACAAATGTTATAAATACATTACGTCATCACAAAATAGAACAATGACACTAAGGAAAGTTAAAGTTATCAGTAATTGAATAGGCATTAAAATTCTGAACTTACCGATAAGAAACGCTGAACCATAAAATTAGATCAGCGCATCCGTATACGGATAAACCCACTTCTCGGTTGCTTGTCGCAAGCAGACTGCTCATACGCGTCACTGCCCGTTTCACAATCCACCCCCTCCATTCTGATAGAATTACAGTGGTGATCGCCATTCCCCCTTCTTACCCTACACATGTCCATTCGTGGATAACTACTTAGGACAAGTAGCGTAGGGGAAGGTGGCCCAAAACGGGTGGGCCGCCCAGGACGGGTAAGCCCTCGTATATTGTTGTATCAAGCATAAGTGTCAATGTGTGCTTGTGTCGAGAGTTGCCGAACATTGACGAGTTTCGATCAGTTTCGCTCAGGCGCCGGAGGCGCGTAATGGCGTAGGTGTGTGCAACGAAAGTTTTAAAGTGATTTTGTTAAAAAAATTCAAGGTAAGTGTCTCGTAATTAGTCGAAAACCTTTATAATTCTCATACTATTAGTAGTACCGTTTCATTCAAGCACTATCTAACTTTAATTTAAGATAAAAAGTTTGCCCCATTTACCTTTCATTTTGAGGTTATAATTAATTTACAAAAAACATGTGCTCTCGGGCAAAACGGGTAGGGCAAAACGGGTACATATATGAGAGCAGCTAGTGCGCAAAATGCTATTAATGGCTTTAAATCAACTGGAATATGGCCTAAAAATTGTCACATATTTGATGAGTCAGACTTTTTGCCATCTACTTTGACGGACCGCCCTGAACCATCTTCTTCAGGCGCTATAGAAAACTCAGCAACCTCTAATTGTGCATCCCAATCTGCACTTCCACGTGGAGAAACATCTCGTATCTCTGGACTCTGACCGCACTGTCTCTCCATCTGTTTTGGAAAATGAAAACTTTAACCCCATCGATGACGTGACTGCAACTGTTGTCACTCAATGTCTAATAGAAAAAAAACTAAACCCTGCAGAAATTCAAATGCCAAATGCAGATGAACAGGCCTCCAACCCCATCATTGCCGTTTCGTCATCAAATAAAGACGTAGAGAAAGACATCAATCAGATGGCTGCCCAGGATCCACTAGCCGAAAACGTCATCCTTTCATGTTCTACACCAGTGAAATAGATTTCTCTTGGATCGATTTGTTGGTTCATGTAAAACCTGTAGACATTAGACCAATGCCGAAACTGAGCCTAAATAAAACAAATCGCAAGCGGAAGATTCAAAAAGCTGAAGTGTTAACCAGTACACCAATAAAAGAACAGCAAAGAGAAAAGGAAGAAAAGAAAAAACGTACAAAAGTTGCTGAAAAGAAAGCATCTCGCGGCAATGAAAGTTGGCAAAAACATCAAAAATATTCCTTCTACCAGCAAAACAAAGAAAGGTAATACTAAAGGTACGCAGAAAAAGTCGGAAAGAAAATATGTTTGCTTGGTTTGTGATGACCCTTATATGAATCCACCTGGAGAAGACTGGATCAAATGTGGAGACTGTAAAGAATGGGCTCACGAAGCATGTACTGCTTATTCTGGTATAGGTTCCTATTTTTGTCAGGAATAGTTTTTAACTTTGAATCTACAACGTTGATTATTATGAAAGTTTTAATAATTGTTTCTATTTTCTTTATAAGTTTGATCTCAATAATAGGTATCTCTAGACTGATTAAAAGAGCCTAAATATACTCGTAGTTTTGTATCTAATGTTATTCATAAAAATTAAAGATTATTTTACGTATGTATAATGTTTTGTGACTGAATTTGTTATATGCTAATTGCCAAAATGTTAAATAAGGTTCAATTATTAGCTTCCT